GGGGGGGGGGGGGGTGTCTGGAGTTGGAGACGGCTGCTGCTCAGAGGACTTCCGTACAAACAATTTCGGTACCCAGCCTGTTGCTTCTAGAGAGGTTCGATTGTAAATGAACTGCAAAAAAAAGAAATTAACGAAATTATCCAAGATGAAAGAGATTGACGAAAGTCGACTGAGACTAATAGGGTCAGGAAGTGACGTAACGATACCAGTGATGAATAAATGGTTGTGGTGATACAGGTTGTATTAATACGTGTTGTATTAATGCATAGTCAAGTTAACGAGACACGCTATTTATAACGCTTTAATATATTTATGTACGAAAAGACGAAGAAAAAGAATGGCGAGCGACTCGAGGGAGTGTGGATTAAATTTTTGGAGATAAAAAATACAGAAAGAACCGTTGAAAACATTCACAAGAGCTCGCACGAGACTCGAGCAATTCTTATAATTATATATTTTTCTTTCTTCTTGCGGAGCATTTTTAATGTTGCAGTATTTTGATAAAACTGTGTGATACTCTTGATATGTATATCGATGCGAAGGACGTTAGCGTTAATTATAATTTTTACGTAAGGGACGCGACGATGGAAACTTATTGATTTCAATGATACATTTCAATCTCAGTTCCAGGTTAAATCCAAAAAAAAAATGTATACGACTAGAGCGTATTACGTGGTACGAGGGTTAAAATATGACTTTTTGTTTTTAATTTGACAAAGAAAAGAAAAGTATTCAAAAGACAAAAAAGCGTTCCTAGTTTCAACGTACTGGCATTGACGTTGCTGTTTCTGAGTGTAGGGTGCACTGTGCGTCACTTTTACTTCGCAGACTCGCCGCACGTGGCCACCGTTCGCTGTACGTATGGATCGCTCCCAGGAATAGTACAAGTTCTATTAAGGTCAGCAGTGCAGTGCCCACCGTGATTATTTTTTTTCGTATTCACGTGTGCACGGCCCTGGTACCGAATGCGTACCGATTAACGGGAATAGGAGTTACGTGCGATTAATCCAATTTTTTTTTTCCATCACAAGTTTCATTTTCTACGTTGAGTGCTCTGCTCATTTTTTTGAAGGGCGCGGAAAACGAGGACCGAAAAGGAACTAGGGTGAAATTAATACAATAATTAAATATTGTATTCGATAAACGGGAAAGGTGAGTACAGTGCACCTGAAAAGACAATTTTGTTCTTTTTTTTTGCTCTGATTAGTTACCAATTTTATCTGTGTAAACTTTTTAACATGTCTCTTTACGATCGATGGACGTCTCATTTATGGATATTATTAACTTGATATTTCTTTTTTCTTTTTCATTCTTATCTTTTGATTTCGTCGTTCGCTTTGTTATCTCTCTCTCTCTCTCATGATTCGTAGACAATATACTGCTGGCAGTAAAACTATTTTGTATATAATTGTGTAAACTTTTTCGTTTGCTTTTTTTTTTTTCATTGTTAGTTTTATTTTTATTATTACGTATTTTCGTCCTCGTCTCCAGATCAAATAGACGTAGAGACAATCCATTGTAAATAAAAATGACGATAGTATCGACGGGGCAGTAATTTGGATTAAAAAAATTCGCCCACGAATATTCAAATATACGAAATCACCACCAATCGTCGTCCAGAGACTTTTTCGTCTCTCTTAGTTTTATAAAAACGAAAAAACAGATATATATATATATATATTGACATAAATTTACACGATCGATAATCAACGATCGACGAGACTTTTAGTAAGATTTTGTCGCCTATTGCGACTAATGTAAATGATGAAATCATTAGGTCCTTAGATAGATCACAAACCGAATACACGTATAATATATATTATATACATCTAAACAATGCATCTATTTAATAAAAAACTTATACATGTTCCAAACGATGATTTTACTTAATGCCTCTATTTCAAGCTGATACCTTAACGCATTATTTAACGCTTAAAACAAATTCTGATATCAATTAAATTTGATTTAGAATTATTTATTTTCACTCCTACAATAGTGCCTAATTTTTTCGGGAATATTTTTACCCCCTATAAAAAATGCATGTGCAACCATAAGAGCGTTGCACCTGCACGGTTCAATATATCTAAAGTGCATCGTGCGCAGAATCTGTCAGAATTCACTGGTGAAAATAGGCAGTCGATAAGAATGACAAGATCGATAAGCTATAAAATTGTTGAAAAAAAAAAACAAAAAAAAAATTTAATGCATCCGTTAATCACACACATCGTTAACACATGCATTCTCGGTGCACCGAATTAATGCACTTATTGTTACGTTAACTGCGGAACTACCACGTGACACTGAATAATGCGTGGATGCGTTAACCCGCACTTGGGTACAATTGGTCATGTGTGCAGAGAAGCACATATGCGCATGGCTGCAAAGTAGAGCATTCTATATATTTTCGCACACGTTCGTATATATCCGTCTACTAGGTAGAGCCAGAGCTATGTATCGTTAGACAGTCGTTAGTAATCTCCAAACGAAGAAACATATTATCCATCGGCTCGCAGAACAACAAAACGAAGGAAGAATTGAAATTTCCGTCGGACGATTTTGTTCGTTACAAAAAAAAAAAAAACGAAAAAAAAATAATAAAAAATAAAAAAGAGAAAATAAGAATAGGAATTGTGTTGGATCAATTATTTTATTTGTGGAATAATATTTTGTTAATTTCTCATACATTTTTTGTGCACGTCGACAACGCGCGGGCACAGCTTTACGAAGAAATCGACATATAATTATTATATTTAAATTTTTCTGACTTGCCTCGAATAAGAATATTTTGTATATTTTGAAAAAAAATTTTTTTTTGTTATTTTCAAAATACTCAACCCATCAGACCTATGTTTTATTATCTTTATTGTATTTTTAATTTTTGTTTTCCCCTCGTTTTCATCCAAAATCATTATTGTCATTGATACTTCGATTGTAATTCGTATCCTGTGACTTATTAAAGGAGTTTCTTTTGGACGACACTGCGAATAACATAGGTGAGATTTTATAAATTTCAATTTATTCTTTTTCACAGTTCTATGCGTCTTCTTATCGTGTCTAGTATCGATATTGTTTCTTTCGAAATTTTCAACCTGTCGCTAACAGACCAATTGCGCTTTTTTAATATCCTCATTCTCAAATAGTTTTGCCAAGATTTTGGCGTAACTCAAAGTACACGCGTATTTATTGACTGAGCAAAGTCCTCCTGCCAAATATTTATTTTTATATATCTTTTACCAAGAAACTGCTCTTCATCTTGATATACGTATGACGAGTACATAACAATGTACGTAAATAAATATATATATATATATAGCGGATATATATATGCGCATATACGTAACATACGCTTACGCCATTTAACCTATAAAACTATGCAAAGTTCATCATAAATAGCGCCGAATCATTTGCGACATTATGAACCTTAAATCGGATCTCTTAATAGTGACAAAGTCAATTTAAATCGAGACATTGAAATTCCATCGAAATATATAATTTTTCAAATTAACTCTACGTCCCATTCAACGCGCTGGCACTCGAAAGAAAAATTCTATTGAAACAGATAAGAGAAACAGCTGACTTTAATTTTTGACATTTCCCATCCATCAGACATCTCGCGTATTTCTCCCTTTTCCATGTTGCATCATCGTGACGTCATAAAAATGCTCTTTCAATATTCGTATCGCATTAGCGCAAAGTCAAATCTGTAAGTTTCGTAAACCACAGTAACAGACTTTAATACAATAACCGAATAAATGCTGAATTAAAAATAGCAATAATTAATCAGATCCACGTGCAATGATTTTTCGACAGGTGTACGCGACTGTACGAAATACCACTATAAGATAAATCAACGTTTTATTTATAATCGCGATGAATATTTATATCTAAATAAAAAAAAAAGTAATTTCAATTGAAAAATTTCTATAACAAATATTCATTCGCCCGCCGATACAAGAATCTCAACTTCACATTCGTATCAACCAATCGCATCGCAACCAAGTGCATTGCAATTGCATTTCTTTGATTGAAGGTCGTACAAATAATTCATCGGAAATTTTCAGTACTCGCCATGCATAAAGTACACAGTGCCATTCAATATACGTATATTAAACATATGTGACTTGTATATAATGATATAAGAAAAAATCGTGGTTAATTAACCTTTCTTAAATTAATATAACCTTGCGCGATTAACGAGACATCCTCGATACGTAACATTGCAAGATTATCGAACAAAACGAAACCTAATGCTCATTAATCAAAGTCAACATTGTTAATTCGCTCTTCGTATACGCGAATTAAATAATCGTTATCAGTGGTACGTGAACGAATTTGAGGAATTTATCGACCAGCGCCGACCCACGCGTGAACGGGACTTTAAACTAGACTTAAGCATTGCAATCTACCCAATAATTTTGACATCCTCGTCGGAGGGTAACTGGGGATCCACTGACCGTATGTGGTTCATACATGTAGATAATTTATTCACATACACTACGAGCTCATATGGAGGCACAAATTCATATGTGAATATTTTTATCTACTGGGATACGCATATACACATGTGCTACTTGGAACAATGTCACTTACGTTATATTTAGACGGCCACTAATTTTGGACCAAGGATAATTAATGGATATATCAATCACAGTATATTGACAACTGTTATGAAATTTTTTTAATTACTTAAATTTACTTTAAACATTTTTTTTTCGTAATAACGGATAATCGTTATATATTATTGATAAGGGCACGATATCGGTTACACGTGTAAGTGATGATTTAAGAAATTTTCTGCAAAACTGTCATACGTCAAAATTTGCATGCACGAGTGTAAATGATTTTCGTAATGCATTCCTGAAACCTGGATACTTTTTGACTTTTGGCCAAAATACACGTGTCTCGGGCGAACTAGGTTGCAGTGCAACGTATACGTGGTATGAGCTAGGTAATTTTGAAAATAAAAAAAAAAAATTCTGATTTCTATATATTTCTCCCACGTGTCAGTTACATAGGCGTGTTTTGGTATTGTTAGACGTACGAAGGAAACGACCGGGACAAATATTTACCGAGTATCGATATACCTAGAAAGATACGTTCGATATGATAATAGGGCGAATACAATTCATTTAACAGTATTTGACCTCAATGCAAAGACGATTGAGTGCAATCAATTTGAAAAGTTGTTATGAGCTTACGTATATGCGAATATATATATAGCCACGTATGAAGATATGTGTATAGATACATGGCGTGTATTGGGACGGGTCTATATCTGTCCTACGTTATTATTGCCTACTGTCAAATTGAACCACGTATTGGTTTATTACTGGCCATAATTAATATGATCCGTTATAATGCGTGCGGGAATACCAATGAATTGTATCACGGGAATGAATCCGCATTTACGGCTGCTCTTTTATCGCACGACTATGAATGACTGGCTGGAGCACCAGTTACGTCGGATATACGCACGCTAATCTGGGTCAAACTTTAATTAATGCAATTTCGTATTTTATTGCACTGATTGTCTGTTAAATCCATCTACGTCGTCCACGTCTATTTCTATGCATGGTTTTGTTTCTGACGCAAACACGAGGAACAGAGTGAGGGCAAAATGATATGGAGATTCGATTGAGTGAAAAAAAAAAAAAAAAAAAAAAATTTACGATCCTGAATAAAAATTTATCGTGGAATAATCGTGGCGATTTTACTTTCAGAAAGATTTCTATCCACTTTCACGGACGTTTAGATTGTCATGGAAAGTAAGAATGGAGAGTCCATCAATATGCAACTGGTCAACACACAGAGTCCATACAAGTAAGTTTTTATGTATTAGAAAAAAGAAAATGTAAAAAAAATTTTTAATAGCAAAAAATGCTTCCTTGGAGTAAGTCAGGGAAGAACGTTGAAGTGCGAGAGAAAGTTGTGGTCATGTGTATTTTTCTTCCAGGGCCAATAATCAATCACCAGAAAATGGTCCATTACGATCGGATGGCACAGCATCTCCCACGACCGATTCAGGCGAATCGTACGATCCTCACAAGCATCGTAACAGACCAAATCCTACCACGTGAGCATTAATTGACGTGGTAAACGTGCTAAGGAACTGCATCGCGTTTGATGCACTTTTGACGCAAGCTATATCTTAGTATCGATAACTATTCTTATTTGCAGAAATGCAGAGACGTTAATTCACTTGCTCAAGGGGAGCCTGGGTACGGGTATACTTGCGATGCCAAATGCATTTAGCAACAGTGGCCTGGTCACTGGTGTCATTGCAACCATACTGATCGGTATCTTATGCACCTACTGTCTCCACGTTCTCGTTAAGTCCCAGTATACACTCTGTAAGCGGTTAAAGGTTCCTATACTCAGCTATCCGATGAGTATGAAATACGCATTGGAGCAAGGACCTCCATGCATCAAGTGGTTCGCACCATATGCACCGTGAGTGGATAAAAATTTTGAGTAGAAAAATAAAAATAGTGGACTATTAAAAAAGAAAATTACATTTCCCCAGGGGCGTGGTCGACGGATTTCTCATAGCTTATCAACTAGGAATTTGTTGCGTGTACATTGTTTTCATAGCGACCAACATCAAGCAGGTGAATTGATAAAAGAATTTATAAAAAAACAAAATAGAAATGTCGTTTCGGTCAGATAATTATTTTTAATTGTAATTCATACGTGCATTTTTTTTCTTGTCTGCAGGTAGCAGACAACTATAAGTTAGAGGCTAATATCCAAATTCATATGCTAATTCTATTGATACCTCTGACGCTCATAAACTACATTAGAAATTTGAAATTACTGGCACCGTTCTCGACTCTCGCCAATATCATCACGTTCGTCGGACTCGCCATGATTTTATCTTATGTTTTCGACGACCTACCGCCGTTAAGCGATAGACAAATGTTTGGATCGCTTCGCAACTTTTCACTGTACTTCGGTACCACGTTATTCGCACTGGAGGCCGTTGGCGTGGTGAGTGTTTAACGTATGCGGATCATTTTTTATAAAACTGTTGAGTATACATATGGTACCGTTGTCCTTCTCGCAGATAATCGCATTAGAAAATAACATGAAAACGCCCCAAAATTTTGGGGGTTACTGCGGCGTCCTGAACATCGGTATGTTTGTGATTGTCGCTTTGTACATTCTCGTTGGATTTTTTGGATACGTCAAATACGGCGATGGGTCTCTCGGTAGCATCACGCTGAATCTACCTGCAGGAGATGTGTAAGTTAGTTAATTATTTGATAATACATACTTTATTGTCATACCTGTTTCAATGTTCAGCTGTAGATTACTTTTTGAAAATTTATATTTTCCATCCTTTTTTCATGTCTCATCTCTGTACCCTTTGGCAGGATGGCACAGAGCATTAACATAATGTTCGCTATAGCCATCTTCATCACGTATGCCCTTCAGGGTTACGTACCCGTTGAGATTATCTGGAACACGTATCTGAATCATCGAATCCAGAAGAACAAGTTGCTCTGGGAATACGTATGTAGAACCTTGGTCACGCTGCTCACATGTAAGTGCACTTTTAAGCCTCTTATGTTAATGGCACACGTGAGGTTTCCACAAAACCATTGGGTTTTGTCCCCAGACACGCATGACGACTACGTCAATCGAAACTAGATTATTTACCGATAAACTTCAATTCCAAGAGTTGCTTGCATTCGAGTTTGAAGAAAAAGTTTTGTAATTTTAAAAATTCAAAATTACGTAACCAACGACAAACCCGAATACATATAAAGATAAAATGGCTTCGTTGTTGCAAAAGTGTAAAAAGTTCAAATTTTTAACTCCGACTCGTGAATCAGCGACCTTAGAGACCCATGTATGCAAAATTTCAAGTGAATCGCATGTAAGAGGAAATGTATGCATGGAAGGGTCAAACGAAAAAATCAAAAATTATTTTTTTTTTTTTTACAGTTGTACTCGCTATTGCAATTCCACGATTGGGACTGTTCATCTCGCTGTTCGGCGCCCTGTGTCTCTCCGCCCTTGGAATTGCGTTTCCGGCGATTATCGAAATCTGCGTATTTTGGCCGGACAAGTTTGGTCCCTGCTGGTGGATCTTTGTCAAAAACATACTTCTTATACTTTTTGGAATTATCGGTCTTGTGGTAGGCACGTTCGTCAGTATGGTGGATATCATCAATTCCTTCAGTGGTCCGTAAATGGATCGGTTCTGTTTTCTCGTCTTACCTTCTTTTCTTTTTTCTTTTTTTTTTGTTATGAACAACTTTTTTCGCATTCTCCACGTGGTGACACGTCGGAAGATAGTAAGGGGGGTGATAAGGGAGGAGGCCAGACATATTTTAAAAGAAAAAGGTTGCCTGCATAGAAAGTATTAGAAATAAGAAAAAATAATAATAACAATATGCGCTGTATAAATATACAAAATTTCGGTGCTTTCAAATACAAATTTCCTGACGCGCATACGCAAATGCCAACAATAATTCACGAATTTTATTCTTCATAGAAAACAATGTGTCTAATCGAAAGTCGAAAAACGAAGGAGAGAAAGGTGGGACACTGGGTATAATATAAATTACATAACCTTTGTGCACAACCATATATACGTAGATTATTAGTTAGACAATTTCGCTCTCGAATAATAAAACACTGCCATAGCTCATGCCATGCACCATTTCATATCTCTGGATATGAAATTGAAGTCAAAAACAGCAAAAGGAAAAGGTCGTAGCGCAGAGAAAAACAAGTGACGGAATTTGGAACTGTCACAGTTACGTAACAGCCGAAATATCGGCTTATTATTGGAGGGAAAGTAAAGATATTAGACAAATAATTATTTAGACAATAGTAACGGATAAGTATGAAATTATAGTAAACTTTAGCTAGTCGCAATTTATGAATTAATAAACTACGCGTCGGATTTTAATACACGATGAATATTGAAAATGACGTGTAGTCTGTTAACGCACAATTGCAAGAGATAATTATTATGTAATAACGAAACCGCAATAACGTTAATTAATAAGTAGCGGAACGAGCTGTTATGAAATTGTTCTAGTTTATCGAATTGTTGAATAGTCGTAGAATACAAAGAACCACAGGGAAAAAAATAGAAAAATTAAAAAAAAAAACCAATCAAGATAATCAAAAAATTCAGTGACGAGAGATACGCGTATTATTATACACAATAAAAAAAACAACAACAATAAAACCGCATTCCCCGTTGCATCGTTGTTCTTTGTTTTGAGAAGTTGTACGATAATAAGAAAATTAACGTAAAAGTAACTATAGCTAAGCAATAAAGGAATGAAGTTCAAATAGGGTGACTCCACCAGTGAATAAGCCTGTCCCTAATAAACGACTGGGTTTATACAAATTATATGTATATATAATAATTTTAACAAGGGTGTCTATTCACGGAAGGCATTTCTTAAGGTGTTCGTCTATTGGTGGACTTACCCTATATAATGCAAATAAACCATAAAACAGATGAAGTCGAAAAGAGGGATTTTAAGTATTTTCTATTTCTTTTCTAAGAAAAAAAAAAGGCTTTCCGACGCTTCGCTACACTGTCTTGTAAATAATGTATGGATATCGATGCTGTTAATAACAATAGATCACGATGCTACTCGTTAAATTATTTTATTAACATTTATAACTTAATGCGATCATAGCAATATTATGCGATTATGTTCATTCGCCATGACAATGTATCCTTGCGATAAACTGTCAAGCCAACATGTCCAGTTTGCACGGGAAAATCACAGCGAATGAATTATGGTCGAGTCGCTCTAACGTCTGTATGTACTCGCTAGGTTATACTTTCCTCTCTATCGTTCAGCAAATACTGTACTGTCGTCTCTCTCTTAACCATGCTTCTAAAAGCTAGGTGGTAAAATTTTCCTACGTGCTCGATCCTGAAACCCGCAGCTACGACTCATAGAAGTTAGAGGGACTTGACTGTATAGAATTTTTGGACAATAAATTCTTTCTCGAACAAATCAATTTTTGTCTTATCTAGGCGAAAGTAATAAGGAGGTAATATCAGTAGTAAATAGTATGTAATTAGTACCTGTTTATCATAGATTCCTCATTAGACTGATCGACCGCCGTTACATCCTTTGTGTACGTTGCGTATGAAACCAATGAGTAGGAAAAGAAATAAAGTAAATTTCGAAATGTATTTATAGAGCACTTGTGGATTCGTGAAAAATAACGAAAAATATACATCCAATGGTGAGAAACCAACTGATAATACACACGTTACTCAGGTTATTATTCGCAGTCTGTATCCGATGGGATAAATGCCAACCAACAAACTCTATCAAGTTTTCCGTCATTGACGCTTCGGGCACTTGAAGCTACTATAAAAGTCACTAGACTATAATCTGACAAAGGAATAATGATGTCACACCGGCGATTATCAAACTGAAAATTCGATCCAGCGACGTACGTACGCGTGAAAAATGCTACTACGTGCCTATCCTTTCTTTCTGTATATTCCTGAAACTCATATCGACCGTGGATATTATAATAGAAGATGACGAACCACTGAAGAATATTCCAGTTCGCAGATGGCGCCACGCGTAGCTGCTGTTAATTTCTATTTTGCTCAGTAGTTGAACCATCTTGCGTGCGACTATCGGTAACTCAGTCTACGGGATACGGGCTTCTATAAAATCCAGATTCGTGTGAAATTGTGTGATACGTAAAATCTATTTATCTTCAGTCGACGATTGTTTATGGATTTCACGTGAAGGATATAAAATTTGTTTGGTGAGTGCTTAGCGTAAAAGAAAATTTATGAAAAATATTTAATGTTTTTTCGCCTCCGCCTTTAACAAATTTTTACCTGCTTTATCAATTGTTCTTATCATCTTATCATAGGTGAAGATAAGCTTTGACACCTGTAACCCTCTCACAGGACACGCTAATTATCTACCAAGGGCGCAGGGGTGTTGTTTGTCTGCCGGTAGTCAAATCCCAGGGCCGAAACGTAGTATCGATGACAGAACCCAGTCAAGGGGGCGTCAGTCAAACAAGAGGCTCAAAGCGAAAGTAAAAGTTATGAGGAAGGGATGGTGGACAGGGGGTAGTAGGCATCCAAAGGGTGGTCTATGGCACAGAGAACGGGACGAGATGTGTTGTGCAAGGGTGGAAAAGGGAGCCCCTTCAAATAAGGGTGATGCACGTGTCACACTGCGGGGGTCCCCTGAATTTTACTACAGCCCTGACGTACCGCCAAAAATTACACCGCGTTGCCCCGGAGTCCCCGGACCCCTCTCCGCATTCTTGCTATCGTATGGACAAAAAATATAGACCCACCCTGTACCATATATCAGTATACATATACACCTTCCTATAGTCATAAGATATATTGAATTATGTTTTGTTTCTTCCAAAGAAAAATTTTTTTAAATTTGTTTGAAAATATAAAATTTACTTATTAAAACTTACTAAAGTTTATAGAACGATAAATTCCCATATACCCATCAATTAATAAAATAATCCTAAGCGACTACCCAGAAAGCCTTTTGAAAAAAAATCTCTTCAAAGATATAAAATCCTATCAATCTCATATTGAGTGGGTTGGATCGGGAAACGATTTTTGAACGTTTCAAAGTGGCTGGTATCAGCAAAGGTCAAAGGTTAGGATAGGAAGAGACAGTAAAAGGCAAAAGTAAAAAAGAAGAAATATATATATATATATTTTCCAACCGGCCCGGATAGTATTGTATAGTGCACGTGCTACCAATGCCCCATACCCCCTGAACCACCCCCTTAAACTCTACAAGCCAGGAGTAATGTATTAATATATTCCCCCAGATCGAATTCGATGTGGGGTGGATTTACCCCATTGGACCTGGGGTTAAGGGTTCGTCGAGTAAGGTGGCCAAAGGGCCCCGAAAGAGACTGGGTGCTGCCTCTCGTATTTATATCAATTTATTGGACATTAGGATCGTGGATAGGGCGTCGCGGCGCGCCGCCGTCGCTACCACCCCCATTGCGTACCTATATCTATGTTTTTTTTTTACCACCCGATGCGGTACGCCTCGACACAGGAAAACGATACCATGGGAATTTGTTGGTATCGGAAAGCGATTTTCGGGATTTCCTGCGAATTTCGAAGTAACACGCCCACGCCACCCCCCACCCCTCTCACTTTATCCCGATACCCCATGTTATACAGTGGAAAAGCGGTCTGAGAGGAAACACGGTCGAATGCTGTACTTTATCATTTTCCTATTTGCATCCACGTGTGCCGAGGTGAATATCTTTTTTATTGTTTGTTTGATCTCCGTTTTATTTTATCTCATATTTGAAACTGTACAAAAAGAAATACATTTATTTTGTTTCCTGTTCCTTTATTGGTAGGTTAAACGGGATTTTTGGGAATATGAAAATTTTCTGAAAATTCCAAATTTCGTGTAACAGCTTTTTATCTTTTTTGGAAATTTTTTGAAACAATATTTTTTTTCAAATATTTTTCTTTGCAATTGCCAAAATGATATTTGGTATTAAATTTGTGTAAAAATTTTTCTGACAAACTTCACCTAAACTTGATTGCTCGTTATATTCTTTCCGAAATATACCCTCGAGGAACCCATCGAATCCCAACTATTGCGACAAGTTACGATCAAGGCCGATCCGCATAAAATGAAGGCCATCTCTTCTACAAAGGGCGACAAGCTGACGCCCTATGACGCCCTATGACGCCCGACGTCGGCTTCGACCGTAGGGAGAAGAACCATAGTAAAACCCTCGTAGAATCGTCCTACCCAGAGATAGTACAGGACCGTCATCTTGGATCCCCAAAAGTGCCGGTATAGGATATTGTTAGAGCAGCCGGTGTCAGCCAACAGCTGTCCCCTGTCTTCTAGGTTAGAATTGGCCAGGGCACGTACAGCTCACATCGCTCCCCCCTCTTATAATTCAACCCCAGAAAATCACCCTGCCGGACAAACCCCGACCGATTAATCGTTATATCCCCGAATCCTGATCCAGTTAAGGGTTCTGGCGTGTCACGAATCCGATTAGTAGAAATACCGATTGAAACGACCTGTAAGTATATTATCGGTTTAAAATTTATCAGCTTGTCATCCCCTATTACAATATGCCTGTAAAACCCTATTTTATAATTTTACAAAAATATTAATTGTCATTACTTTTAGACTAAAGATTTTTTTTTCCATATATAGTCACCATCAACCAATCATTTTTTTTTTATATAACCAACGATACAAAACTAATTCCATATTCACTGTTAACAATTGGCTATATAGATACACATATACCTATATATATAGCTCGCGTCTACCGACTGCCGACTAATTTTGGAACAGTCTCTATAGGTTACCAGTTGTTACAACGCTGTCCGTCGGCAGCTCGTGAACTTGTGAATAGTATTTTTTTTCTCGACTCTTCCTCTTGCGGCTCTTACTCAATCAGGAAAGGGGTTGCCGTGTGTCAGCATGCGTGCGCGTGAGCGTACGAGCCAAAAATGTGTATTTTTGGAAATTCTCATGGAGCCATGTATTATTGCAGTCTTGGGGCGAAGAAGTCAGAAATTTATGAGGTAACGACACACGCGACATCCGAGCAAAATAAAAATTGAAAACGTGCAACAACTATTAAAGAATCTGCTTTTCCTTTTTTTATCATTTCGCGTTACTCATCTCATCAACGGTCATTCACCGTTTTACCTGTTTGTCTTTTTTCTTTTCATCGATACGTACTGACGTAACTCGAGGGGACAAAATTTGTATACCCGTTATATAAATTGATTCCACTCTTACGATGCTTAAAAAATTTGTATCCCCGTTATTAAAATTATTCCACTATTGCGATGCTTGTAAAATTCGTTTATCGATATCCTAAATCGAAAAATTTTCAATTATTTTCTGTAATAATAAATTACGGAAATGGATTTTTTTTTGATAAGATGAAATACTAGGAATCAATGGTAAAACTCACTACACATCCTTGCACGATTATCGACGAGTATCACTCAATAGTTAAATTCATAAGGGAAAACAATGATTGTAATTTTGATACCTATTGATTAGGGAAATTTTGATTGTACTGGAATTACGACTATGAAAGACGTTTTATCGGCCGTTTGACACTACTGGCTCTCATATGGGAAAGCCTTAGGCCTGTCTTAAGGTCCGAATAGGTCGGAATAGGTACAGCGTGGATTGTCGTGCTGTATCGTAGGTAGAGCTAGTAGGTTCTCTACTTCCACGAGGTGGCCATTTGAGCCAAGGGTGGCTCCGCCTACGAGAACATAACCTTTGACCATCCCCTTTTACCCGAAGCATGCGCCCTCGCGAGACTGAAATGCCGGAAGAGGTTCTCAGTTTGCGATAGAATCGAAATTAAAATTTTGAAAAAATTTTTTAATGCGCGTGAACGATTTTTAATTTTGTATACAAAGCAGGTCTTATCTGATGAATTAAAAAAAATCGCAGTAAAATTTCAAATTTTTCTAATCGTTCCAACGTGTTGTAAATACAGGGCGAGGGGCACTAAAGTTTCTATTGTTTGCGATATTTTGTACGATTTTCAAAAATTATTTTTATTGCAAAAGTTCTCATGGGAATTTTACTACTGTTTGAAAAACAACGTCACAGTCCGAAATGATCGTTTACTGTGTTTGTGTTTATACAGCTAATCGTTATTGCACCAATAAGGGTGAGCGAATTTTGCCATAAGAAATTTCTCACTGTAAATACAGCTGCGTCGTTAACGCGTAACAATGCACGAACTAGTTCTGTTTGTAAGATCCTGTATAAATATATCACTGTGTATAAGTGAATTTGAGAATTTTGTAATCAGGAATTTCTTATACGCTTGTGATATATTTGTCAAAAAAAAAGTATTAGCAATCGCCGGCTATTAGAATATGCAAATATTGCTGTGCCCGAACATCTGCAAATTGGCCAGCCCTTATCCTTATCACTGCCTTGCGTTTCGATAAAGTAGATAATTATGATTGATTCTCAAAAGTCATAAACCCGATATCGTACAATAGTCCAGGAACAATAGGGGTGAGAACAAGGATCACCCACAATAGTACAAGACCTCCCGCGAAGCAGACATTACACTAATTGCGTATCCCGCCGAATAGTCCCTATGATAAAAAATCCCTAGAAAATCTTGTGAAAAAGTTACCAGAAAAAAATGATTAAAAAATAAAACTAGATTTAATAAAATTTCAATACACTAAACAAGCTTAAACGTCATCGTAGGAAATGTGAAAAATCGTAAAAAAAAAAACTTTCCAAAAATAATTAGACTAACATTTTTACAGTTTCTCTAGTTTCATTTCGATTTAACTTTACCCGCACAATACGTATCCCAAGTACTTGCACGTATACCGATAAATCATTCGGGTGCATTCACACGTGAGCGACATTCAAAATCACGGCTGGGTGCATCCCTTTTCGAGTGTCGAATTGTTCGTATTAGAGCAGGTGATCAAAAAGCCCAAAGAAAATCG